ACCTGACCCGAGGTTACCGATATCAAAATTCCGAGATATGCGAATTGTAGGTACCAATGAGTTATTGAAGTCCTGAAAGTTTCAAAACTTTCTGTCAACCACTATGGCCGTGGCTGGACCCCAAAGTTTTTTTGGAGGTTGGGTCACTTCGATTGACCTGGTGACCTGACCTGAGGTGACCTGGGTCTAAATTTTTCAGTGAAGGTGGGGAGAGGATGCCCGGTAAGGTATACCAAAAAAACCGCAGGGGGGCGGTGTTCAAACACCCCCACACACTTGGGCGCGGGTTAAATCTCGGAACACCCGTCTGCCGATTCGTGCTTTTTGTAACTGCAGGGTTGTTCTGAAGCTCTCTCTCTCTCTCTGTGTCCGACCTTCTGCACACTGTCTCCGTCGCTCCTCCCTGACGTTCCGCCGCGCCGCCCGGTCCAGGACGAGGATGGCGCGCCGGTCGTCATGTCCGTGGTCAGGAAGTACTCGTTCGAGTCGGAAGACGGCCAGCAGGTTCAGCGCTCCCAGTCGTCGGTACTGGTCCACGACGGAGACCAGATGCACGTCATCGAGGGGCCGGCGCGTGTCACCGTGTCACAGCGAGGTCAGTAGGGGTCACCGTGTCACAGCGAGGTCAGTAGGGGTCACAGTCTCACGGCGAGGTCAGTACGGGAGGGTCACCGTGTCACAGCGAGGTCAGTACGGGAAGGGGGTCACCGTTTCACAGCAAGTTCAGTTTGGGAGAGGGTGGGTCAGTTGGTGGGGGTCGTAGTTGGAAATGTGTTCCACTTTCCCGGAGTGTTATCTGGTAACTTGTGATGCCTTGGTAGAAGACATTTATGTAATCTATTGCGGTGGTTAGATGATCTTTGCTTATATCTTACTGAATGATCTGATAAGATAATCAGCTGACATACGGGTACCTGAACGTTGTCAGTGCCTGTCAAGATATTTTATCAACAACACAGTAATAGCCCCGATAACCGATTGAAATGTTTGAAAGCGGAGATAAGTTATCATTTACGCTTGACGCTACTTTGCCTCAACTGCTCTGAAAGCGTGGTAACTTGTGTTCTTGTCAGATAGATAAAATCGGTGAACCATAGCTGCGGCTTACCGAGACTGATTGGTGTCTAGATAGATGCATACGTCACCATCGTTTTCTTGGATTATACGCGCTTGTAGGAATTTTGTTCTCCTAACTATAACGCTAATCTACCATAGTATTTTAGCGCATTTTACCTCGGTAACTATAAAGCTGGCTTGACTCACCAATCTGCTGTCGGCTCCACGAGTGTCGCTGCTCTGACCCAGCCCCCCCCCCTCCCGTCCTCCTCCCCGGCAGGCCCGATGACGGGCGACGGTCCGTTCCCGAGCATGCTGGACGGCATGCTGGACCGTATGCGGCAGACGATGCAGCACATGCTGCAGGGCATCAGCGGCCAGCCGGACACTGAGGAGCGCCAGCAGCAGGGTCAGGAGCAGCCGAAGCAGGCTCAGGAGGCTCAGGAGCGGCAGGAGCAGGCGCTGGTCGAGCAGAGGATGGAGCAGGCCGAGCAGCAGCTGCGCGACCGGCTCGCGCAGGCCCACCGCGACATGTTCGGTAAGTGGGTGAGGGGAAGGGGGCTCTCACAGGCGCACTGACCGGGCCATGTTTGGTAGGTAGGGGACAGGGGAGGGTTCAGAGGGCCAAAACAGGCTCTCAAAAACTCACCGGAATATGTTCGGTAGGTGGAGGACAGGGAGGGTTTCGTGGGGCCGGGACCGGCTCTCGCAGGCGCACCGGGATATGTCCAGTAGCCGGGGTAGGGGAAGCGCTGAACATTGGGCGCGGTGACCCACTGGATACTTAGTGACGGTTGGGAAAGGAAGGCGCCTTTGTTAGTTAGTTGCATATCTGCTTTCGGCAATCAATCCCATTTTCACAGATGCTTACAACTGACCATTTTCACAGATGCTTACAATTATTACTAATAATAAATGCTGTTTCACGTGTTATACGCAACGCACACAAGAGAACAGGAAGTGGTATCTATGGCATCATGACTTATCCTGCTAGATAAGCTTCTTATAACCCAGTTTTGTATCCGGTGGTCACGAATCGATACCGCAGCGAGAGCGTTTGGTTGCGTCACTGCGCAGCGTGCTGGTTTTTCGTTTGTCACGACACAATTGGCGTCTTGTCTTTGTGTCTGTTATATAATCAGGTTGTATCGAAACAGAGTTTCACAGCTTGGGCGTCTTGTTCTGTGTGGCGTGTCGTCTGTTTTATCCTCCACCGTGTGTCCTCGTCCCGTTTCTGTCGGCTTCCTGCTCAGGATCTCTGTCCCTTTATTTCCGTAAATTACTTATTTCTGATGCACTGGCATTCGCCTCCCGGCTCTCGGGTGGTCGGCTCTGTCGTAGCCTTCACACCCTTCTGTGGACGCGAGGGTCGTGAGGTGCTCACCGCTCACTCTCTCCAGTTCTGTCGTAAATCGGCGCCAGCAGTCGCGCCCCGACCGTGACTCGTCCTCCTGCCTTTGTCCTTAGTGACGGGAGCGGCGGGGGCGGCTGTATCTGACCCTCCCCTGTCCCCCCCCCCCCGCAGTGACGGGAGCGGCTGTATCTGACCCCCCGCAGTGACGGGAGCGGCTGTATCTGACCCTCCCCCCTCCCCGCAGTGACGGGAGCGGCTGTGTCTGACCCCCCCCCCCTCCCCGCAGTGACGGGAGCGGCTGTATCTAACCCCCCTCCCCTGCCCTCCCCGCAGTGACGGGAGCGGCTGTGTCTGACCCCCCCCCCCCCCTCCCCCCTCCCCGCAGTGACGGGAGCGGCTGTACCTGACCCTCCCCTGCCCTTCCCGCAGTGACGGGAGCGGCGGCGCGGCAGCACGAGTCGAGCTGGCGGCGCGCCTGGCGCTGCACGCCCCACTACGTCATGCTGGGCGTGCTGCTGCTGGGCACGGCGCTGGTGCTCTACACCTGCTACTGCCTGATTGTGGTAGTGCGCCGCCGCCGGCGCCGCGAACTGCGCGACGAGCTCGTCCAGGCGAGTGGCTGCGGGATCAGATGGGCAGGGTAGTGATTGCTGATTATGGAAGTATTTTCGGGTAAACCGTCCGATGGTAATTACTGTTAACGCCAGATCCCTTGAGACCCTAATTTTTCGCGATTATTTTTAAAAGCGTGGCAGAATTTCAACCAAGCTCAGGACATGGCCGTTTCAAGACCTGCCGAAACTTTTACAATTTAGATATTTTGTCGCCATTTCAATATTTCAGGCACTTCTCATTGACTCGTAATGTTAAATTTCGAGCAAGATTTTCACTCGGTGTGTAGAGGCTATCATCAGTCAGTCTGTGATACGTTATGACGTCAAAGCTAAGCCCCGCCTCTGTGGTCTTGGCCTGCGGCGGTTTCGGGCCGGCGCGCGGTCACTCGCGCTGTGGCGGGGAGCGGGGACGGTCGAGCGGTGCCGAAAGCCGGCGGAGTTGTGCGTAACGTCTTGTCTGACAGTGCCCAAAGAGCGACATGATGACTGAGGAGCCATGAATGCTCAATGCGCATTGCTTGTACAATGCTGATAGGTTCGCTGATATTTGTTTTATTTTTCATAAGCTGCAAATGACGGGCTGATGGCATATACCTGACATAGTTAGGAAACATTCACCTGTATTTAAAGCCTATGGCGTTGCAGATAACGTGATAAGGGAATGTCGGATGTCATCAAGTAGTTGCTGATTTGTACATCGCTATGCAACCATCGAACAACGCAATAATTAGTTAATTGCCTTCGCTTCACATCATAAGGCTCGCTCGTATTTCAAAGTAAACATATCCTACATCGAACATCGTATTGCTTAGGAATCTTTAACGTTTGTTCGAGGCATGTGTGAGTAGTAGGTTGAGGAGTGATGGTCCTCTTGGTCCTATATACGAGAGTCAACAAGAGCTTAACATTTACTTGACCGTCTGCTGCAATTTGAATTGATACATGGCACGTGAAGCGTCAGCGAAATTCATAGTCCTTTACAGATGGCAGGGGTGTCGTTTGTACAGAGGTCGCTGGTGGGCACGGGTCAATGCCGCAGTCGTGGGCGGAGCCTTATGTCATATGACGTATGAAAGCCTCTATCCAGGATGGAAAAACAGTTAACATTACGAGTCAATGACAAGTGCCACAAATATTTAAGTGACAACAAAACGTATTTGAAGAAAAAGTTTCAGCAGGTCTTGAAACAGCTATTTCCTAAATGTGGTTGAAATTCTTCCACGCATTAAAAAATAATCGCGAAAAATTAGGGTCTCAAGGGATCTGGCGTTAACAGTAGATGAACGCATGCACAGGTATGTTGCATTCACGTATATTTCAGAGTGCAGGCAAGAACGTATGTAAATAGCACTGGTTAAGCGCCGTTGGCTGACGTCCCGCGCGTTTCCAGCACGTGGAGGTGGCCGAGGACCTGCCTCCGAAGTACTCGCTGGCGGTGGCCGAACAGGAGCCGACCAAGACCTCCGAGGTGAAGGACGCGCCGCCGGCCTACTCCAGCATCACGGCCGCCGACGCCGAGCTGCCGCCCAAGCTGGACGTCTAGGGCCGACATCTAGCGGTCGATAGCGGCACTATTAGTGCGACGGTGGCGTCGCGGCGCGTCCGAACGCATAATTTCCGTTGGCTTTCCGAGTGAAATCCCGCTGTGCATAGAGGCTACGTTCCATCATTCTGGTATTAGCGCCATGCTGTATTGTATGAGTTGTGTGTCGTGATCATATAGGGGATGGGTGAAGGGTTCATAACACGCGCTAGGTGTAAAGCAATATCCGCCCGAAAATTGTTTATTTTTGTGTGAAAGGTCTCGCTATAACTATGCGTTCTTGAGTTGAAGGGAAAGTTTTAGTGGCCTGGCCCGGGGATGTGAGGGGTCGTCTTGTGATTGTGATTTACTAGCACTAGAGGGGCGAATTCGCAGGATGCTCTCTATGGAGGTTTTTTCTGTTTGTCTGCCTTGTGCTTATTAAAACACCAAAGTTAAATACATTTATTTATTGTGAACTTGTCGCATTTTTCGGAGATCAGACAATGAGCTGGCTGTCCGCTCACAAAGCCCAACGCATTCCAGGACCGAGCGAACACGACCATTCATTCATTTGCACAGAAGTGGCGGCCTTGGAAATAGCAAGGAAAAAATAGCTAGCCGCGAAACGCGGCTATATAACTGCCACATGCCGCAACACAAACGACCACCCTTGAAAACATGAGTTCATTATCTGCTCAGATTGGCACTGACTGAGCGTTACAGGACCAGGCAGCTGACAAACCCTTGGCCCAGCCATAGGCAGTGGCGGGACAGATCTTGTCCGCTGAAAAGACCGACACTACGTAACACAATGTTATGGCAGCACAGGAATGCAACAATCAACAATACTGGAGTCATATCCAGTTGAGCCCATCAGGCGGACCCGCCTCTAGCTACCACCCTCGGCCTTGTCGCGACTGCAGACACCCAACGCCGCACAGTCACCACACCACGACGTCATCACACTGTGCGCCTCCTCACCACACCGGACATCACGTACGAACCATCACCCATAACCCCCGTCCGGGCCCCCAGCAGGCCGTGTCACTTGGGCAGCGTGACGCCGGCCTCCTCGTCCGTCTCCAGGCCGATCTCCTCCAGCAGGTCCTTCTTCTTCTTCGGGTAGCCCTCCATGATGGCGTCCACGATGTCTGTGGCGATGCGTTTTCGCTTCCTCCACTCGGTGACCAGCCGGCGGTGACGCTCCTGGACGCGCCGCCGCTCGTCGGCCGTCACATTGCCCGACAGACGCTTCAGCGCGGCCAGCTTCCCGGTCCGACTGGCCACGTCCTGTTCACACTGCGGAGAACCGGACGGGCAGGGAAGGGGTGTCATCGGGCCGTCCTGATCACACCGGGCGGGTTACTTCAAGAGGTACGTCATCGGCGCTGTCCTGATCACAACGGGCGGACGTGGGAGGGACGTGATTGGGTCCCATTGGTCGCTGAGGACGCACAGTTTGCACTTCTGGCGGGTGTTCTAACAATGTTAAGCTGGTGTCTACTTTACTCGACAATCGAGATATTACAAAACACTTCTCCTTTCTACAAGAAGCGTTAGTGAATAGACATGATATTTAGGCAATTTTATAGCCTCAATAGCCCCAAATCTGTTGACGTATGTACTTCAATCGCCGATGAACTGAGCGCCCTCAGTGTCCGGCGACCCACCTGTTTGAGCTCTCGTTTGGCCTGCTCCGACGTCAGGCTGTTGGTGGTGGCCTTCAGTCTGGCCTCCAGCTCCCGTGCCGCCACGGCCTCCTCGGTCAGTTGGGCGGTCAGCTCGGCGATCCTGCGGGGAGACGAGTCGTCGTACTCTGTCTCTGAGTACAGGCCAGTTTATGACAAGTTTGTAAGCACATTATCCGGTGTATGATGAGCTTCACAAAACTGATTGGTATGAAACATTAGATATTAGAAAAATAAGTTTGGTTTGCCTTACTTTGCATCCATGCCTTTAATTTCAGCCTCCTCGGCTTTGGGGAACAGCTCCTGGTTCACAACATACACCTTCTGCTTCCCATACACCTTTTCCATGACCTTCTTCTCCTGAGGGCAAGAAAGAATCAAACAGTGGTTGGGGTGAAACTAGAGAGCACAGATGAAATGAGGACATTTTAATGGACATCACGTCACAGAAAAGTGTATGAACACTTGAACAGCATGCACTAAATGTAAAGGACTTTGAATGTCATTTGTAAAATCTTGTATGTATATCTTAATAAATTAATGACATTCTGGGGATCAATGATCTTCATACCTTGTGCAAAAAAATTTAACAGGCAAAAAAAGATGAGCACAAGCAAGATGTAACACATTGCACACCAACGTCAGGTTGCACCAGACTCCAGAGTTAGACAGAGCTTGTTTTTTTAAGCGAAATACAAAATTGATGACCTACCTCAACCAAAGCATCCAAACTCTTCTGAACAGCAGTTTTCCCATATTCTTTGTGAAGGTTCATGTGTATATCAGTTACACTATATGGACGGTTTTGATCATGGAGATACTTAAATACTGATGATGACGTCTTGTCAGCCATACTTAGAATTATCACTAGTTAACGCAGTGAAAATAAAATCTGAAAATGAGCGCAACAGTCAGAGGGAACTAGGAAAAACAAGCATTTGATTTTTTCCAATATAACCATTACATTATCATGCAATTTAACAATAAAATAAGGTAGGAGAGAGTGGGGAAAGAGGCCCAGGGTTTTACTATGTCATATATAATTCGAAAATGACGATCGGAAAGCAAAAACTTGGAGTTTCAACGGAAGCCGACATCATTTTTCTCCAAAAATATCACACTTTCGTGCCTGCAATATGATAACGTTTTTTGCTATTAAGCATTTTCCTGAAGAAGTGAAATGGGGCATCTTACCCTACAGGGTGGGAAAGACGCCCCCTGGCGTTGGGGAAGATGCCCCCTGCACTATAAATGATTTATTTTAATGATTATTAATGATTTATTTATAAATGATTAGGGCATAAATGGGCACGTGAATCGCCTGAACGAATCAGTAGTCCCTTCGAGCCTGCAGTAGACACCAAACGTCATTGTAAGGGCCCTCAAAAGTAGTCGTAAGGGGCTTCAGAGGTCATCGTTAGGACCATCATAGTCCAGCGCGGCTAAACAAGCCTCCGTGGTGGCGTTCAGAGACCACTGTGGGGCCCTTATAGGTCTTAATGATGCTTGAGGGCCCTCGAGCCCATCGTGGGGACCTCAGATGCCAGCGCGGCCCGCGGAGCCAACGTGGGAGCCCTCAAAGGATGTCGTGAGGGGCCCTGGAGCCAATAATGGGGCCCACAGAGGCCGTCGTGTGAGGGCTCTGAGTCAGATGCCGCCCAAAAAGTCGCTGTGTGGGCCGAGAGACCGGCATGGGGATCACCCGACCGTACTGGACTCTCAATATTCCCAGATCGACTTTTGTCTCTCATCACAAGTATGTAATAAATGATTTGACGGGCTGCTTGAAGGACAGCCTACGGATTTAGGGGGCGTCTTTCCCCACCAGGACAGGGGGCATCTTACCCCAATGTACCGAAGTAACATTAAATCAGTACAATTTGTTAGCCATAAAACTACACCCTGAAACAAACTGCGTGAGAGCCCAAATTCCACGCCACGTGCATTGCCCGGGATTCGGGAATGCCCAAGATTCCTATAGATCAAGATTCTTACCGATACTATGGATGGAATGCCTACGTTCTACAACTCATAAAACATTTAATCTGTAAACACTATCACTATGCTGCACTGCTGAGTGCTGACGCTTCTACCGCTTTTGCCAATGTACTAGGGTTGACTATTAAGTAATGGAAGTGCCTTAAGCAATTAAACGTTTTTGCACGTGCACATGTTTTCTTGGTGTCATTTCATGCGCCGATGTTTTTTTCTATCCAATGGTGAAGACCACATGTCCTTAGCTACTTCTGGCTCCAAGCTATCGTCGTTTTCCCAAGAGACCACCCGAACCTGCGGCGCACCATGAAAAAGGAGTCTGACAATGGCCAAAATCGCGCGCCAAGCGCCAGCGCGAGGTCATCAGAGCATATTGGCTTATTGTTATGGCTACACAATGGACAATTTCTATATTTTCATCAAAACAATACACATTGGCACGATAAATGACAGCATACACTACTCCACATAATCGCCTTCAAGCATCACACACCATTCCAGCCTCGTCTTGACCCACTCCTGGAACGCCGACAGAAGACTGATCGGCGCTTTCTTTCTCAAACCGATGAAACCACCGACATATCGTCTGTGGGGAGGCTGCGTCGCTCCATACACTTAGAAAATAAATTTTCTGATATTGGTAGGCCTTTTCCCTACGACAAACTGAGCTCTATATGACCTTGCACTCGGCGCTGGCGCGCGGCTTTGGCCATTGCCAGGTGGTGCGCCACAGGTTCGGGAGGTCTCTTGGGGAAACGACGATAGCTTATAGCAAAAAGTAGCTAGGGACATGTGGTCTTCACCATTGGATAGAAAAAAGATTGGCGCATGAAATGACACCTAAATAATGTGTGCACGTGCAAACCCGTTTAATTGCTTAAGGCACTTCCATTACTTAATAGTCAACCCTAGTAACGGAAGTCAGCAGGGATTCAGCAGGGGTTCCACTTTCCAGTTCAGCAGGGATCGACGGCCCCTACGATTTCGCTGAATTTTGGTGGAAAGGTGCAGAATGGTGTCCTCTATCAAAAATCTGGTGAAAATCCTAGTGCCAAAATGCGGGGCCACAAATCCCAAAAAAAGTATGCCCTCAGGGCACAATCGAAGAACTTTGAAAACCCCGAAAACCCTACTTCTAGCCGTCAGAACACCCTACTCACTCACTCACTCACTGACTAATTCTATCATCCACTCATTCAACCACTCACTCGCTCACTCAATCACTCACTCACTCAATCACTCGCACACATGCTGCACAGTGCACACACACATACTGTACAATGCACACACACACATACTGTACAATGCACACACACACATAGGATTTTCTAAGCAATTTGCACACATATATAGGCTCTTTCATTCTACCATCTTTTCACGTATTTGTTCACATACCAGATTCCTACCATTCAAATAGACTGGGATCATTCATGTCATCTACTGTCTGTCATTTGTTATAATCACTGCGAACGACCGTGTTTTTGCTTGTGAATCGAAGTGCGTGTATATTTGTTAATATTCATAACTCACTGTATGTACCATTCCGCAACTAGGAGGAAGATCTATTCACTGAGCAGGCTTTGTGTGATGTTTAAAAAACTATGAAATGATTGTTTACTTCAGACCTGACGATGTGCTATGCACGAAACAGTTCAAGTTGTCTCATTTTCTTGGCCCTATTTTGAATACAATTATTAGCATGAGGCTTAGGGTTTTCATTGCATTTATATATATAATCATGAGCCTTAAAACCGCGCTTTCTTTCATCCGTCAAAACAGCTAAAAATGACGTCATTCGAAAGAGGACAAAATTTTACGTACAACGGTACCTTTCGCCAAGGCCCTTTACATTCGATCCAAGGCCCTATATAGAAGGTATGCTCATTAGGCCGAAGCAGCGATTTCCGTGACGTCACTGGTACGAAGGGTCGGACGGCTGTAATGCAATCCTATGGAAAATGACCCAACTTTAGGGCTCTCCCACATAGCTGCCAACCTCGACACTAAAGTAAAAGTTATATCACATAAAAGCTCAAATCAAGACGAACAAGAAATCTATCTGACGTTTTTACGTATTACTAACGGCTTAGACTCTATTCAAGTATATTCAGAGCTCTGCATTACCTCACTTTTTCTGCCGTCAATGCCACTACAAATGTCTAGTCGGCGCACGTGCGCTTGTCGAGCGGGGACCACCAGTCGGGCGATTCAGAGCTGCCGCCCAATCAGAACGCCGCAATGCCGTGACGTCATTGGTCGCACACGACACGTTACGGAGATAGGGATGAGACAGCCCTGCATTCGATCTGCGCGCCCCAAGGCCCTAAAGCGCGCCCCTCTCTTGCTTTTCCTGCTCTAAGTAAATGTTCATCTATTTGGCAACATATTCGGATTCAGATTCATATTCGAAATAAATGGTCTGCGGACTACTCAGAATGACTCAAAAATGATTTTGACTATACAATTTGACCTTCCCAATTCAATGAGGGTAAAATCTAAGCGCGGCACGGTCAATTTGCAGAGCGACCTCAGGTCAAAGTTACATAGGTCATGTACTGCGGACTATTTAGATTGCTTCAAAAATCATTTTGACCTTTTAAATTTTAATTTTTAACATAACTTTTATTAAATTTAAGCGCGGCACGCCCCAACAGCAGTTTTTCGTAGACTTGAAATACAAGGTCGTTAGCATTTTTCAGTTAAGGGACTATCTCAAATTTCGTGAGAATAATTTTGGTTTTACAATTTTGCTTTTGATAGTCAGCAAAAATTAAACCTGAGCGCGGCACGACTCAAATATAGATATGTGTATAAAAATAATTACAAGTTTTAATTCAAACATGGCCGCCAGGCATCTTGACTGACGCGTTTGATTCGATCTCGGCGCGTAAACAAAAGACCATTAGGCAAAAATATAGCGTGTTATAGTGTATTAAATTGTGTTTTTAAGTGTTTTTATATACTTTGGTGAGGTCTGTGTATTAGATTGCATGCTCTGTTGATACGCTAGGGTGGTCCTTTGCATATTTTTTGCAAAGAAACATATTAAGCCTTGCCTAGTCAATCCTAAAGCCCTCATAACACCCTCTTCAAAAAATCTACTTTATCATGTAGGTACATACCTACCTGTGCAATGCAATATGAAGTCCTAATTTATCCCAATATAATGCCTACTGAGACTTAACACCTACCTCTGCTTTTTGGTATCTGCTGCAGTATAAATGGAGATGAACTTAGTCTAAGCCAACTGGCCATTGTCAATTAGAATCGGGGGCAGCTCGGACATATGCAGCATAGATGTAGAGCTGCTCTGTCTGCGTCATTCCCAGGTGATGTCAGCCGCCCACTCTGCTGGTATGCAGAGCCTAGGGCTGCTGAAGCATTTGAGCAATCTTGTTCCATATGCCCGCTGCTTAAAATGAGCCGCAACAGCTGATCCGATCCGTCTGAGTGTGCTCAACATTCTTCCCTCCTGTTATGTGTCCACTGTTCAGTGAAGAACTAGTGCATCGATCCCCAGCCGTAGCAGGTGGTGCTGGAGACTCAGCTGGAGCTGCTGGTGTTTCTGTAACTCTACCTTCCCCAGTGAGAAGCTGGTGCTGCTGATGTCTATAACTCCCCCTCCCTATTCAGGAGCTGGTGCTGCTGATGTCTGCCTCTGTCCACCACTGTCGGCCTCTGTCCGCCTCTGTCGGCCTCTGTCGACCACCTGTTGACCCCTGTTGACCATGTCCACCTCTGGCATCCCTTGTCGACCCTTTCTGACCTCTGTCGACCTCTTCTGTCGAACTTTGTTGACCCTGCCCTGCCCTGCCCTGCCCTGCCCTGGCTCCTGCCCTGCCCTGTCCTGGCTCCTGTCAGCTCCTGTCAGCTCTCCTCTCAGCTCCTGTCAGCTCTCCTGTCAGCTCCTGTCAGCTCCTGTCAGCTCTCCTGTCAGCTCCTGTCACCTCCTGTCAGCTCCTGTCAGCTCCTGTATAACTCCCCTTCCCTATTCAGGAGCTATTGCTGCTGATATCTGCCTCTGTCCGCCTCTGTCCGCCACTGTCGACCTCTGTCTGCCTCTGTAGACCTCTCTTGACCTCTGTCGACCTCTGTCGACCTCTGTCGACCTCTGTCGACCTCTGTCGACCTCTGTCGACCTCTGTCGACCCCTGTGGACACATGTCGACCCCTGTCGACCTCTGTCGACCCTGCCCTGCCCTGCCCTGCCCTGGCTCCTCCCTTGCCCTGCCCTGGCTCCTGTCAGCTCCTGTCAGCTCCTGTCAGCTCCTTGTCAACCTCCGTCGACCTCTGTCGACCTCTGTCAACCTCTGTCGACCTCTTCTTACGACCTCTTCTGTCGACCTCTTTTGTCGACCTCTGTCGACCTCTGTCGACCCTGCCCTACCCTGCCCTGCCTTGGCTCCTGCCCTGCCTTGGCTCCTGCCCTGCCCTGGCTCTTGCCCTGCCCTGCCCTGCCCTGGCTCCTGTCAGCTCCTGTCAGCTCCTTGTCGACCTCTGTCGACCTCTGTCGATAGGGGCGATGCCAGGTACCATCAACAGTGGGGAATGGAATGACTGACCGAGGTGACTTGAGGTACCGTAAACAGTGGGGCAGGGGCGACTCTTCTGTCCGACCTGACCGAAGTCTGTCCGACCTGGCAGAGGTATGTGGGACCTAACAAAGGTATGTGTGACCTGACAGTGGTATGTGAGAGCTTACATATATATGTGGAACCTGACAGACGTCTGACAACCCTGGCCGAGGTCTGTCAGGCACCTGACTGAGGTCTGTCAGACCTGACCACCAAGGTCTGTCCCACCTGCCAGACGTTTGCGGGACCTGACAAAGGTATGTGGGACCTGACAGAGGTATGTGGGACCCGACAGAGCTATGTGGCACCTGACAGAGGTATGTAAGACCTGTGAGAGGTCTGTAGGAGCTGACAGAGATATGTGGAACCTGACAGACGTCTGACAACCCTCCTATGTGGACCCTCCCTGTCTGCAGGAGCTGACAGAGATATATGGAACCTGACAGACGCCTGACAAACCTGGCCGAGGTCTGTCAGAGACCTGACTGAGGTCTCTCAGACCTGACTGAGGTCTGTCAGAGCTGACAGAGGTATGTAAGACGTATCTGAGGTCTGTAGGAGCTGACAGAGATATATGGAACCTGACAGACATCTGACTACCCTGGCCGTAGTCTGTCAGAGACTTGACTGAGATCTTTCAGATCTGACCGAGGTCTCTCAGACCTGACCGAGGTCTCTCAGACCTGACCGAGGTCTCTCCGACCTGACCGAGGTCTGTCAGACCTGACAGAGGTATTTGAGACCTGACAGAGGTCTGTAGGAGCTGACAGAGATATATGGAACCTGACAGACGTCTGACAACCCTGGCCGAGATCTGTCAGAGACCTGATTGAGGTCTGTCAGACCTGACCGAGGTCTCTCCGACCTGACCGAGGACTGTCAGACCAGACCGAGGTCTGTCAGACGTGACAGAGGCATGTGAGACCTGACAGAGGTCTGTAGGAGCTGACAGAGATATGTGGAACCTGACAGACGTCTGACAACCCTCCTATGTGGACCCTCCCTGTCTGTAGGAGCTGACAGAGATATATGGAACCTGACAGACGCCTGACAAACCTGGCCGAGGTCTGTCAGAGACCTGACTGAGGTCTTTCAGACGTGACTGAGGTCTGTCAGACCTGACAGAGGTATGTAAGACCTATCTGAGGTCTGTAGGAGCTGACAGAGATATATGAAACCTGACAGACATTTGACAACCCTGACCGTAGTCTGTCAGAGACCTGACTGAGATCTCTCAGACCTGACCGAGGTCTCTCAGACCTGACCGAGGTCTCTCCGACCTGACCGAGGTCTGTCAGACCTGACAGAGGTATGTAAGACCTGTGAGAGGTCTGTAGGAGCTGACAAAGATAAATGGAACCTGACAGACGTCTGACAACCCTGGCCGAGGTCTGTCAAAGACCTGACTGAAGTCTCTCAGACCTGACCGAGGTCTCTGAGACCTGACCGAGGTCTCTTCGACCTGACCGAGGTCTGTCAGACCTGACAGAGGTATGTAAGACCTGTCAGAGGTCTGTAGGAGCTGACAGAGATAAATGGAACCTGACAGACGTCTGACAACCCTGGCCGAGGTCTGTCAAAGACCTGACTGAAGTCTCTCAGACCTGACCGAGGTCTCTCCGACCTGACCGAGGTCTGCCAGACCTGACCGAGGTCTGTCAGACCTGACAGAGGTATGTGAGACCTGACAGAGGTCTGTAGGAGCTGACAGAGATATAGGTACCTATGGAACCTGACAGACGTCTGACAACCCTGGCCGAGGTCTGTCAGACCTGATTGAGGTCTGTCAGACCTGACCGAGGTCTCTCCGACCTGACCGAGGACTGTCAGACCAGACCGAGGTCTGTCAGACGTGACAGAGGCATGTGAGACCTGACAGAGGTCTGTAGGAGCTGACAGAGATATGTGGAACCTGACAGACGTCTGACAACCCTCCTATGTGGACCCTCCCTGTCTGTAGGAGCTGACAGAGATATATGGAACCTGACAGACGCCTGACAAACCTGGCCGAGGTCTGTCAGAGACCTGACTGAGGTCTCTCAGACCTGAGGTCTGTCAGACCTGACAGAGGTATGTGAGACCTGACAGAGGTCTGTAGGAGCTGACAGAGATATAGGTACCTATGGAACCTGACAGACGTCTGACAACCCTGGCCGAGGTCTGTCAGACCTGATTGAGGTCTGTCAGACCTGACCGAGGTCTCTCCGACCTGACCGAGGACTGTCAGACCAGACCGAGGTCTGTCAGACGTGACAGAGGCATGTGAGACCTGACAGAGGTCTGTAGGAGCTGACAGAGATATGTGGAACCTGACAGACGTCTGACAACCCTCCTATGTGGACCCTCCCTGTCTGTAGGAGCTGACAGAGATATATGGAACCTGACAGACGCCTGACAAACCTGGCCGAGGTCTGTCAGAGACCTGACTGAGGTCTCTCAGACCTGAGGTCTGTCAGACCTGACAGAGGTATGTAAGATCTATCTGAGGTCTGTAGGAGCTGACAGAGATATATGGAACCTGACAGACATCTGACAACCCTGACCGTAGTCTGTCAGAGACCTGACTGAGATCTCTCAGACCTGACCGAGGTCTCTCAGACCTGACCGAGGTCTCTCCGACATGACCGAGGTCTGTCAGACCTGACAGAGGTATGTAAGACCTGTCAGAGGTCTGTAGGAGCTGACAGAGATAAATGGAACCTGACAGACGTCTGACAACCCTGGCCGAGATCTGTCAAAGACCTGACTGAAGTCTCTCAGTCCTGACCGAGGTCTCTCCGACCTGACCGAGGTCTGTCAGATCTGACAGACGTCTGTCAGATCGGACAGAGGAATGTAAGACCTGTCAGAGGTCTGTAGGAGCTGACAGAGATAAATGGAACCTGACAGACGTCTAACAACCCTGGCCGAGGTCTGTCAAAGACCTGACTGAAGTCTCTCAGACCTGACCGAGGTCTCTCTGACCTGACCGAGGACTGTCAGACCAGACCGAGGTCTGTCAGACGTGACAGAGGTATGTGAGACCTGACAGAGGTCTGTAGGAGCTGACAGAGATATGTGGAACCTGACAGACGTCTGACAACCCTCATATGTGGACCCTCCCTGTCTGTAGGAGCTGACAGAGATATATGGAACCTGACAGACGCCTGACAAACCTGGCCGAGGTCTGTCAGAGACCTGACTGAGGTCTCTCAGACCTGACTGAGGTCTGTCAGACCTGACTGAGGTCTGTCAGACCTGACAGAGGTATGTGAGACCTGACAGAGGTCTTTAGGAGCTGACAGAGATATGTGGAACCTGACAGACTTCTGACAACCCTCCTATGTTGACCCTCCCTGTCTGTAGGAGCTGACAGAGATATATGGAAACTGACAGACGTCTGACAACCCTGGCCGAGGTCTGTCAAAGACCTGACTGAAGTCTCTCAGACCTGACCGAGGTCTCTCCGACCTGACCGAGGTCTGCCAGACCTGACAGAGGTATGTGAGACCTGACAGAGGTCTGTAGGAGCTGACAGAGATATGTGGAACCTGACAGACGTCTGACAACCCTGGCCGAGGTCTGCCAAAGACCTGACTGAGGTCTTTCAGACCTGACCGAGGTCTCTCCGACCTCAGTCTGACTGCCCCATGTTAACTGCCCCTGTTAACAGTTGACTGCCCCATGTTAACTGTTGACTACCCCTGCCCCACTGTTAACGGTACCTGGAGTCGTCTATTGCATTCCATTTCGCACTGTTAACGGTACCTGGAGTCCCCCCTGCCGCACTGTTTACGGTACCTGAAGTCGCCTCTGCCCTGCCCTGCCCTGTCCTCCTGTCAGCTCCTGTCAGCTCTCTAAGTCAGCTCTGCTCTGCTCGCTCTGCTCTGCCCCGCCTTGCTCTGCTCTGCTCGCTCTGCTCTGTCAGCTCTGCTGTACACTGCTCTGCTCTGTTAGCTCTGCTCTGTGTGCTCTGTCTTGTCTGTGTGTACATTATAAGCTGACCTTCCCGTGACCTCTCGCCGGCAGCACGCTGCATGGCTACGAGTCGGTTTCGTGCCTGTCGTTCGGCGGTTCGGCCGGTGTGCTGGTCTCCGGCTGTCTGGGCGGCGAGCTGCGTCTTTGGCGACCACATTCGGGACGCACCACACTGCTGGCCCTACAGCAGATGGCACACCGCCTGGGTGTTACCTGCTGCCATAATCTATTATCCATCAGCAAACCATATGTATGTTTTCTTTCTGAATAAAAATGTGCCTGGGCAAGTAAATCGGAACATCTTTCAATGGATCAGTGTTATTCGACGCAAAGCGTGATCACAATCCAACGGAAAAGGCTATCCCACTCTACACTGGGGCTCCACACGATTCCCACGCCTGCTAGGGGGAGGGCTACTGAACAGTGAACACCCCCCCCCCCATTCCAACTCAACTCCTGGACAACAACGGGTGTTGGGAGTATTAGAACGAGTATTAGAACGAAAGAGTGAGAAGCTGGTGCTGCTGATGTCTGTAACTCCCCCTCCCTATTCAGGAGCTGATGTCCTCCAACGGCGGAGTGGGTGGTGGCGCCGCAGGGTCGATGGAAGGGGACAAAAGAGCACGCGGCGTGTGACACCAGCATTCGACGTTTATTGCAACGACAATCAGCGAGGATTATTCGGAAGGTCAATCCTTGCTACACCGGCGACAATCAGACGCTATCTGTGATACGCCCACCCACACAATCTGCACTGCACACGCACCCAAACAAACACAGACATACACGAGGAGCGAACAGGACATTATCGATCGTCTAACGCAGGCCCGCGCGGAGTCGTTGACTTTACAATTACATTCATAACATCCATCCTAGCGCGCTATTCCACTGATGAGCCTGGCGTCGGCACTGGGCCGGTCCCTCGAGCCGGCGGCCTGGAAGTAGGTACCGAGTTTGTATCAGAAGGCCGGTTGCGGCCGGCGACTTTCCGAGCTGGCGCACTTCCGCGCCGTAATTTGATGCCTCTTACGTCCCTACACTCTACAGAGTACGCGCTGCACTGCAGCATCATAGGACAACGCCGTCGGCGGAATCAGCACGGGCCCCCAGCGGTACGCGCATGTCCGTCCCCAGCGGTAAATAAAGCCTCGGCTCCGCGCCGGAGCGGGTGGCCGGCCGGCTCTCGGTCAGCGAGGTATCGCATACGTGTCCCGCGGCCGTCTGAGTCCGCCGGCGGCCTCCATCACTGCGTCGCCGGGTCGATAGGGCACGCCGCCTTCCCCAGCGCGACCGCCGGCCGCACTGCCCGCCTGACGCGGCGCTAACGGATGTGTCCACCGAGAGCTGGTCGGACCGGCATGACGCTTCTTGGCGACCACGAGTGGCTTCCGCGCGCGCCAGCCGCCGGGGCACCACCATGGTGGGATGAGCCACCACCTTTGTTCCTTTGTCCTAGAGGAGTCCTCCGTCAGCCTCTGCGGCACACAGCTTGGCTGCCCTCCCGGTCCCGTCACGGCGGCTGTCGATCCGGCGACAAGACGTGACGTGACTGACGGTTGCAGTGACGTGACCGTGGTGTTGACGTGACGTCCACCGCGTCACACCGTTAGCAGGAGCAGCAGCGTTCTGGCTAAACCGTATCACAAATGGCTGCACCGGGCCGGACACACAGTGCGCCTGCCAAACCAATACAAAGACGGGCTCCGGCGCCGGGCCGGTCTCGGCGGGCCGTCCGTCTACGAGCTGGTCGACGGGGCCGAGTCAGGGGCCGGGGCCGGCTCGGCAGACGATGAGGACGGCCCGGCAGCCGAGGACGGGCCGGCGCCCTCCTCCGACTCGGCCTCCAGCAACTCCTCGTCCTTCTCCATCAGCTGTCGGGCCAGCTTCACCGCGTAGAACTCGTTGTAGTGCGACTTGCGCTTGGCCTCGAACTGGCGGTGCGCCGCTGTGGGGCAGACGGGGAGGGGGTGTTAGGTACAGGCAGACAGAGGAATGTAGGGGGTGCGTGGGTGTCAGATACAGACAGACAGGGGACGGTAGGGGTAGGGTGACTGGTAACGCGGGTCGCACCGTCATCCCGGCGGTCATGACTCACGGGCCCGTCATGCGGCAGCAGTTCGGCCGGTGCAGCCCGGCGCTCCCTGCTGATCGGTCCGAGGATGCCTTGTTGAGTTTGCCGGACCTGACAAAGATCTGTCGAGCCTGACCGAAGTCTGTCAGAGACCTGACTGAGGTCTTTCAGATCTGACCGAGGTCTCTCAGACCTGACCGAGGTCTCTCAGACCTGACCGAGGTATGTCAGACCTGACAGAGGTATGTGAGACCTGACAGAGGTCTGTAGGAGCTGACAGAGATATGTGGAACCTGACAGACGTCTGACAACCCTGGCCGAGGTCTGTCAAAGACCTGACTGAGGTCTTTCAGACCTGACCGAGGTCTCTCCGACCTGACCGAGGTCTGCCAGACCTGACAGAGGTATGTGGGACCTGACAGAGGTATGTAAGACCTGTCAGAGGTCTGTAGGAGCTGACAGAGATATATGGAACCTGACAGACGTCTGACAACCCTGGCCGAGATCTGTCGGAGACCTGATTGAGGTCTTTCAGATCTGACCGAGGTCTCTCAGACCTGACCGAGGTCTCTCCGACCTGACCGAGGTATGTGAGACCTGACAGAGGTCTGTAAGAGTTGACAGAGATATGTGGAACCTGACAGACGTCTGACAACCCTGGCCGAGGTCTGTCAAAGGCCTGACTGGGGTCTTTCAGATCTGACCGAGGTCTCTCAGACCTGACCGAGGTCTCTCCGACCTGACAGAGGTCTGTCAGATCTGACAGAGGTCTGCCAGACCTGACAGAGGTATGTGAGACCTGACCGAGGTCTCTCCGACCTGACCAAGGTATGTCAGACCTGACAGAGGTATGTGAGACCTGACAGAGGTCTGTAGGAGCTGACAGAGATATGTGGAACCTGACAGACGTCTGACAACCCTGGACGAGGTCTGTCAAAGAACTGACTGAGGTCTTTCAGACCTGACCGAGGTCTCTCCGACCTGACCGAGGTCTGCCAGACCTGACAGAGGTATGTGGGACCTGACAGAGGTATGTAAGACCTGTCAGAGGTCTGTAGGAGCTGACAGAGATATATGGAACCTGACAGACGTCTGACAACCCTGGCCGAGATCTGTCGGAGACCTGATTGAGGTCTTTCAGATCTGACCGAGGTCTCTCAGACCTGACCGAGGTCTCTCAGACCTGACCGAGGTCTCTCCGACCTGACCGAGGTATGTGAGACCTGACAGAGGTCTGTAAGAGCTGACAGAGATATGTGGAACCTGACAGACGTCTGACAACCCTGGCCGAGGTCTGTCAAAGGCCTGACTGGGGTCTTTCAGATCTGACCGAGGTCTCTCAGACCTGACCGAGGTCTCTCCGACCTGACAGAGGTCTGTCAGATCTGACAGAGGTCTGCCAGACCTGACAGAGGTATGTGAGACCTGACCGAGGTCTCTCCGACCTGACCAAGGTATGTCAGACCTGACAGAGGTATGTGAGACCTGACAGAGGTCTGTAGGAGCTGACAGAGATATGTGGAACCTGACAGACGTCTGACAACCCTGGACGAGGTCTGTCAAAGACCTGACTGAGGTCTTTCAGACCTGACCGAGGTCTCTCCGACCTGACCGAGGTCTGCCAGACCTGACAGAGGTATGTGGGACCTGACAGAGGTATGTAAGACCTGTCAGAGGTCTGTAGGAGCTGACAGAGATATAAGGAACCTGACAGACGTCTGACAACCCTGGCCGAGATCTGTCAGAGACCTGATTGAGGTCTTTCAAAACTGACCGAGGTCTCTCAGACCTGACCGAGGTCTCTCAGACCTGACCGAGGTCTCTCCGACCTGACCGAGGTATGTGAGACCTGACAGAGGTCTGTTAGAGCTGACAGAGATATGTGGAACCTGACAGACGTCTGACAACCCTGGCCGAGGTCTGTCAAAGACCTGACTGAGGTCTTTCAGATCTGACCGAGGTCCCTCAGACCCGACCGAGGGCTCTCCGACCTGACAGAGGTCTGCCAGACCTGACAGAGGTCTGCCAGACCTGACAGAGGTATGTGAGACCTGACAGAGGTCTGTAGGAGCTGACAGAGATATATGGAACCTGACAGACGTCTGACAACCCTGGCCGACGTCTGTCAGAGACCTGACTGAGGTCTTTCAGATCTGACCGAGGTCTCTCAGACCTGACCGAGGTCTCGCCGACCTGACCGAGGTCTGCCAGACCTGACAGAGGTATGTGAGACCTGACAGAGGTCTGTAGGAGCTGACAGAGATATGTGGAACCTGACAGACGTCTGACAACCCTGGCCGAGGTCTGTCAAAGATCTGACTGAGGTCTTTCAGACCTGACCGAGGTCTCTCCGACCTGACCGAGGTCTGCCAGACCTGACAGAGGTATGTAAGACCTGTCAGAGGTCTGTAGGAGCTGACAGAGATATAGGTATGGAACCTGACAGACGTCTGACAACCCTGGCCGAGGTCTGTCAGAGACCTGACTGAGGTCTTTCAGATCTGACCGAGGTCTCTCAGACCTGACCGAGGTCTCGCCGACCTGACCGAGGTCTGCCAGACCTGACAGAGGTATGTGAGACCTGACAGAGGTCTGTAGGAGCTGACAGAGATATGTGGAACCTGACAGACGTCTGACAACCCTGGCCGAGGTCTGTCAGAGACCTGACTGAGGTCTTTCAGATCTGACCGAGGTCTCTCTCAGTCTCACAGACGTCTGACAACCCTGGCCGAGGTCTGTCAGACACCTGACTGAGGTCTCTCAGACCTGAATGAGGCCTGTCAGACCTGACCAAGGTCTGCCCGACCTGCCAGACGTGTGCGAGACCTGACAGAGGTATGTGGGACATGACAGAGGTCTGTTAGACCTGTCAGAGGTCAGATGACTTCCGTGAGGTCTCTGACAGACCTCGGCCAGGTTTGTCAGACGTCTGTCAGGTTCCACATATCTCTGTCAGCTCCTATAGACCTCTGACAGGTCTTACATACCTCTGTCAGGTCCCACATACCTCTGTCAGGTCACACATACCTTTGTTAGGTCCCACATACCTCTGCCAGGTCGGACAGACTTCGGTCAGGTCGGACAGAGTCGCCCCTGCCCCACTGTTTACGGTACCTCGAGTCACCTCGGTCAGTCATTCCATTCCCCACTGTTGATGGTACCTGGCATCGCCCCTGTCGATAGAGGTCGACAGAGGTTGACAAGGAGCTGACAGGAGCTGACAGGGGCCAGGGCAGGGCAGGGCAGGAGCCAGGGCATGGCAGGGCAGGAGCCAAGGCAGGGCAGGGCAGGGTCGACAGAGGTCGACAGAGGTCGATAAAAGAGGTCGACAGAAGAAGAGGTCGACAGAGGTTGACAGAGGTCGACAGAGGTTGACAGAGGTCGACAGAGGTCGACAGAGGTTGACAAGGAACTGACAGGAGCCAGGGCAGGGCAGGGCAGGGTCGACAGAGGTCGACAGGGGTCGACATGTGTCCACAGGGGTCGACAGAGGTCTACAGAGGCGGACAGAGGTCGACAGTGGCGGACAGAGGTGGACAGAGGCAGATATCAGCAGCACCAGCTCCTGAATAGGGAAGGGGAGTTATACAGGAGCTGACAGGAGCTGACAGGAGGTGACAGGAGCTGACAGGAGAGCTGACAGGAGCCAGGACAGGGCAGGGCAGGAGCCAGGGCAGGGTAGGACAGGGTTGACAGAGGTTGACAAAGGTCGACAAGGAGCTGACAGGAGCTGACAGGAGCTGACAGGAGCAAGGACAGGGCAAGGCAGGGCAGGGTCGACAGAGGTCGACAAGGAGCTGACAGGAGCTGACAGGAGCTGGCAGGGGCCAGGGCAGGGCAGGAGCCAGGGCAGGGCAGGAGCCAGGCCAGGGCAGGAGCCAGGGCAGGGCAGGAGACAGGGCAGGGCAGGAGCCAGGGCAGGGCAGGTTCGACAGAGGTTAACAGAGGTCAACAAAAGAGGTGGACAGAAGAGGTTGTAAGAAGAAGTCGACAGAGGTTGACAGAGGTCAACAAGGAGCTGACAGGAGCCAGGGCAGGGCAGGAGCCAGGGCAGGAGCCAGGGCAGGGCAGGGCAGGGCAGGGTTGACAGCGGTTAACAAGGAGCTGACAGGAGCTGACACGAGCCAGGGCAGGGCAGGGCAGGGTCAACAAAGGTCGACAGAAGAGGTCGACAGAGGTCAGAAAGGGTCGACAAGGGATGACAGAGGTGGACATGGTCAACAGGGGTCGACAGAGGCCGACAGAAGCGGACAGAGGCCGACAGAAGCGGACAGAGGCCGCCAGTGGCGGACAGAGGCAGACATCAGCAGCACCAGCTCCTGAATAGGGAGGGGGAGTTATAGACATCAGCAGCACCAGCTTCTCACTGGGGAAGGGGGAGTTACAGAAACACCAGCAGCTCCAGCTGAGTCTCCAGCACCACCTGCTACGGCTGGGGATCGATGCACTAGTTCCTCACTGAACAGTGGACACATAACGGGAGGGAAGAATGTTGAGCACACTCAGACGGATCGGATCAGCTGTTGCGGCTCATTTTAAGCAGCGGGCATATGGAACAAGATTGCTCAAATGCTTCAGCAGCCCTAGGCTCTGCATACCAGCAGAGTGGGCGGCTGACATCACCTGGGAATGACGCAGACAGAGCAGCTCTACATCTATGCTGCATATGTCCGAGCTGCCCCCGATTCTAATTGACGATGGCCAGTTGGCTTAGACTAAGTTCATCTCCATTTATACTGCAGCAGATACCAAAAAGCAGAGGTAGGTGTTAAGTCTCAGTAGGCATTATATTGGGATAAATTAGGACTTCATATTGCATTGCACAGGTAGGCATGTACCTACATGATAAAGTAGATTTTTTGAAGAGGGTGTTATGAGGGCTTTAGGATTGACTAGGCAAGGCTTAATATGTTTCTTTGCAAAAAATATGCAAAGGACCACCCTAGCGTATCAACAGAGCATGCAATCTAATACACAGACCACACCAAAGTATATAAAAACACTTAAAAACACAATTTAATACACTATAACACGCTATATTTTTGCCTAATGGTCTTTTGTTTACGCGCCGAGATCGAATCAAACGCGTCAGTCAAGATGCCTGGCGGCCATGTTTGAATTAAAACTTGTAATTGTTTTTATACACATATCTATATTTGAGTCGTGCCGCGCTCAGGTTTAATTTTTGCTGACTATCAAAAGCAAAATTGTAAAACCAAAATTATTCTCACGAAATTTGAGATAGTCCCTTACCTGAAAAATGCTAACGACCTTGTATTTCAAGTCTACGAAAAACTGCTGTTGGGGCGTGCCGCGCTTAAATTTAATATAAGTTATGTTAAAAATTAAAATTTAAATGGTCAAAATGATTTTTGAAGCAATCTAAATAGTCCGCAGTACATGACCTATGTAACTTTGACCTGAGGTCGCTCTGCAAATTGACCGTGCCGCGCTTAGATTTTACCCTCATTGAATTGGGAAGGTCAAATTGTATAGTCAAAATCATTTTTGAGTCATTCTGAGTAGTCCGCAGACCATTTATTTCGAATATGAATCTGAATCCGAATATGTTGCCAAATAGATGAACATTCTAAGGGTTCCAAAGACTATTCGGCTTGCGATCTTAAGTTGCCTAGCAATTTACAGAAAATATAAATGTTTTGAGCATTTCAAAAGCTAGTTGCTAGGCAACGTTCTTCTGAAAATCCTATCGCTTTTAGCTATCGTTCATATTTGTATCATTTGCGCAAACAGCATAAGTGGCATATAGGTAAGAGGCTAGGAAAACAAAATTGAGCTTTTTTATGTTATAATAGTAAGGAACACACACATTATAAAAGAAAATAGACGAGTAAGAGAAATATTATTGTTTCTCATTCTAACCCCATCACCCGGAATCGTTCGATCTCAATGGTTTCATGGGGCGGTAGGGGTCGAGGTCTGCCTAACAATCTTTACCAAGAATGAGCTCCGGCTCACGCACTGGCGGATCCAGAAAGGCGGTCTTGGGCGCTGCGGGGGGGGGGGGCATACCCCAAAAAGTTTCCCTAAATTTCCATAACTCATCGGATGATTTCGATTTCTTACGCACTGATGTGCAGTTTATAACAAACTTTCCCAACAAAAGTAAATTGTTTAGTTTTCGTTTAATTCTCGAAAAGCCGCAAATTTTCGTCGATTTCGGGCGCTGCGTCGGGGGAGGGGGGGGGGGAGCAGTTGCCGCAGTTATGGCGGATCCGGAGCACTGGCGCGCCAGTGCTCCGACTCTGTCAATCGGTGCATTCACCCGCGCCCCGCTGGTCTATTCAGCCATACGCGCCCTGCTGGGGGGGGGGGGGGGGGCAGATTCTGCCCCCCCTGTCTAACTCCCGAACCCAGGGGCGCGGGAACTACTTTCCGACTGGGGGGCACACCATAATAGAAATTAACCTAGGGTACCCCCAAATCTAGTTTTCTCACCGGTTTTAGGCCACTTATTTTTCACCCCTCGGCTTTTTCAACAAAAAAAAGAAAATATTTGCAAAAAAAGTGTGGTATTCCGTCTCAAAGCTGTGGGGGCACGGCCCCCACGGCCCAAGAGTTGGGGGGGGGGGGGGCAGGCTGCCCCCACTGCCCCCCCGGCTCCCGCGCCTATGCCCGAACCGATGGTCGTAGAAAGACGGGGAAAACGGCAATCGAAAGCTCTCAACAAGGCGGATCTTAAGAGCCCAATTTTTTGCTTGAATAGGTCAGAGGTCAGGTCAAGGTCAGGTCAAGGGTACAAAAATGCAAATTACTACAATATCGGCCTTGCACCGTAGTTGCCGAAGAATGGACTGAGACTGATTGCCCAAAACGTGTTCTTAGGCTACCAAGACAATATTCGTTGCATGCAATATCATTCAAGGGTCAAGGTCAAGGTCAGGTCAGGTCAGGTCACCAAAAACAAAATATAGAAAAGGGCATGTGCGACATATGTTTTATGGATCATTTTATTCATAGAATTCAATAGGCACACTCAATAAGTGATATGGACCACATCTGCATGAATTTCAGGTCGAGGTCAGGTCAAGGTCAGGTCAAGTGAGGTCAAATTTTGAAGCTGGTTGTTAAGGCCTAAAAAGGTGTCTATCTGATGCAGTTTTTTCACGGCGAATCGACTGGTGCTATTTTTGTGTCCGTACGAAGTCCAGAACTTCCAAAAAATCATTTTTTTTCTATAAAAAATTGCGTGTTGTTAGGTACGTCATAAAAATTTGAATAACTCACACATTTTTGAATCGATTCTTCTAAAAATTGGTATGTAGGTGCACATGGACCACTTTTCTCTGACAAATATTCCGGTTTTTCGATACACTCAAGATTTTGGATTTTATAATTATTAAAAAAACAGTTTTTTGAGAAAATTTGGGCCAAAATCCGAGTAGGGCAGAGTAGGTAGAGTAGAGCAGAGTAGAGTAGGGCACTGAGGAGGGCAGAAAGTAGGGCACTGCAGGTTACAGGGCATGGCACAGGACATTTTAGAGGGAAGGGTAGGGGAAGGAGGGTGAATTGCGCCACCTTAAGGAAAAACGCTAATTGTAAGAAAACCGCTGGAGATATAAGCATGCACTGGTAATCACTTCAAAGAGGAACTCATTAGCTACGATTTAAGAGCCTCCCGATCAATAAAGAATGTTTCGTTTGCTTCTGACAGCCGCTTTTTCAGAAACATGAAAAAGGGCGCATTTACCAACAACTGCTGCAAATTGCGCCAGGGGGATGGCGCAATTAGAATCCAATTGCGCCCTATACTTTAACATGGCTAAGCGAATGAGACGGAATGCATACACCCCGGCAGTCTAATGTCATTGCAACTTACTGAAACATTTATAATGTTAATCAGGCTGGATAAATAATAAAGTAGATATAAATCGCGATGTTTTTTGTCCAGGTAAATAACTTTACATGTGTCCGTATGCTTGTAAAAGTGCAACGAAAACGTTTAATGTAACCGACTAGATATATGTGAACGTATGCGCCTATACGGTTAAATTTTCAATCGTTTCTCTAAACATTGATGATTTGTATCGTTTCGACAACTTTTTGACATCGGTTTTTACTTTTTTATCATAGCTGTCACCTCTCACGCCTTATTCCATGTTGAAAATGCCGTATTTTGTCAATTACACCACAAGTTTGTAGCCTAAATGGCAGCTGCATTATAAGTTTGACGAGATAAATAATTTGCGGACTGACGACAGCGGGCTGCTCCCCTGTCTGGCATTAAACTCCTTCTTTATTGCAATCAGTTAATGATGCATTCATACTGTTGTGATACAATAGCTACACCATTATTCTATTTGCGCCCCCCTGGCGCAATTGCCATGGGCGCAATTGAAATTGAGGTACTTTTTAATAAAAATGTAGAAGTTATCATAAATATGTTGAAGGATGTTAACTGTTTCAGTGAAATATAATGAAAAAAAGGTTTTTCTTTCTAAATATCACTCTGAAAATCACACGTATCGCATATTTTTATAGCAAACGGTTCAAAATACTGCAGCAAAGCTAAGAAAACGCCGTAATATCTTTGATGGCGTAATGAGCCCTGCTGATTGGCTTCGTCGGAGAGCTTGGGCCATAAAATGAAAAATCAAGTGGTGAAAACATTGTTTTCGAACACAAAATTCTAAACATGCCATTAAATTCGTGGGAATGTTGGTGGGCGCAATCGGTTAAGAGGGCGCAATACACCCACTTTCCCCTACAGGTCAGGGCAGACAGCAGGGCACAGGTCAGGGAACCGGACAGGGCACAGGGCAGGGACGCAGTGGGTCAAATCAGCAGGGGCTACGTCCCAAGGCGAGGGGGCTGCGTCCCAAAATGGGACACAGTAAGTGCCTTAAAATATGCCCTGTGTTAGTGCCTAGCGGCGTTTGAAATTTTGCCGTTTTTTAGGCGAAAATGGCGAACATGACGTCACTAAAACGTCATTTTCTCAAAAATATTCCGACGGATTTCGCTCAAATTTTCAGGGAACGTGTCAAATTCATGTATGATAAGGTACTGAAACTTGAAAGTTTGACGTCGCTGGCGTAACGCGCTTAGAAGTCATTGGCGAAAAACGGGAGGGGCAGATTCTGCCCGCCCCCCCCCCCCCCCCAGCGGGGCGCGGGTTAAAAGTTCACACATGCGATTTGGCTAAATGTACCTATTTATTAAACTAAGGCGCGAATCGCGATTAGCAATCCCATCCAAAAAGAAGGTACCTACTAGTGATGTCAATTACAGAAAATCGGAATACCGATACCCGTAGGCGTCGCCCGAGATTTTCGGTTGGGGGGGAATCAACTTTTGTGTTAAAACTTGCCTTTCCCCAGTCGTTACTCACTCGTTTTACTTATCATTCGACGCGCAATGGTGCGAGGAATCCGATGGTGAATTGGTGACAAAGGTTTCCTTCTAGCTATGACATGTAATTTTTTACAGAAAAATTCGAAATTTTGAAATTTCATGACAAAAACGACTGGTAGAATTATAGTATATAGTGGCTGCGATTGCCGACGCACTGCAGAGGGCCCCTGTGCAGACGCTCGACGCTCATGATCATTACCCAGAAAAAGGTGAAAAACGATCCATTTAATCGGATCACCCTGCTAAAATCTCCATTCACGCATGCATGCAGAGGTTTTACGTGAAATGCATAGGACTTATCCGAGCCGCCGATCGTAGCTAAGTTGGGCATTCGGCGGAGAGTGAATGTCTGAAGTGTGCATCGGAAGTAATTCATCTTTGCTCCAGTGAGAGGAAGTGTTTTGTTCACTCGAGTGTGAACAAAAGTTTCTCGTTTTTCGTGTGAAGGGAAGCGCTGCAAACGCAAACAAAAACTGTTAAACGGAACCAAAAGTTACGCACGGCATAGCGGCAAGGGATCCCTTTTAGAGATAGGCTTGGGACTTCCAGGCCATTTCAGGCCACTCAGGGTCAGTGCTGACTCTCAGAAGCATGCTTAGGATCCCGGAGATCGGCGTGGGTCACCTCAAATATTTACGTGTACGTGGTGCTTTAGGGCTTTCCGAGCCCAAGGTGG